AATTTTGTTCAAGATTCTCAAATTTTGAATATATCACATTAAAGAGCACCCACTTTATTTTCAATTGCTTGACTGGATGGGATTACAGAAAATGCAGTTGTACTATGGGAATTTTCTGCCACTCAACTGCCAGTGTAGTTATGCATGAAGAATTCTTATTAAGTCAAAAGAGAACAGAATGCATTTGAAAGCAGAATTGACCCCCTGGATTCAGTTTTACGAATGGAAAGATTCAAGACTCTGTCACTATGGACTCTTTTTCCTACTCAAAAAGATACTATTTCTCATAACAACCACTAAGTTGCTCCACAGTTTTAGGTTTGCAACATCAAGGCTTCATTAAAAATTAGGTATTTAGAGGAAAACTGATTTTTCTTCAAAGGAAAATGTTAAAATATGTACAATTCCTCCGACATGCATTTTTAAAGACTAAGGAAAGACATGTAACTGTTTTTGCAACCTAGGCTCAGGCAACTGCTCAAGGAGCCTATAGCTATCAGTAGAAGTTTTATGCCTGATGGAAAATCATTCTAAAGGTTTTTTTTAATCTAAAAAAATAACGTCATCAATGTGCATTCCACCCTGGGATACAAAGGCAGGAATTACACTGTGTTGATAAAATGTTAGCAACCACGTTTCATTTTTTGAAAAGGTTTTCCTGAAATAAAGAGTTGATTATATCCCTTACTATTACAAGAATTTGATATATCACAATGTGTAAGAGTTACAGCACGTGCCAACTATCAACTAGGAAAAATGAACCTGATTCATAATTCACTTTGAGAATGTCTATTAGTCAATGAAGTGATTTGTAATCATGAAGGCTGCCAGAAATTGAATGAATAATGAGCCACAGTAAAATCCCTGGATTTTCTTAGTATTCTTATTTCATTATGTGACTTTTATTGCCACTTTTTATCGCTGTTTCTCAGCAGCACAAATCAAATCACATATTTACTTAAATTTTTTTACTATTAAATATGCTAAAGGATATACAAGTTGAATGACCAGAGTACTTAATGTCTTCCTAAAAAATTAACTCTTAGTGTTTATAGCTTCAGCAAAGAAAATTTCATTCCTTCCAAATCCCTCAACACTTGCCTCATTTTATTTAAATTATTTAGTGAATACATTATTTCAGCATAACTTGTTCTAATTCAGTATATTTTCTTAAGTTGTTTCTATATATTGGGTTGATGGAAAAGTCATGACGCAGTTTTGCAAAGAAAAACATAGAAAAAAATATGCCATGACTTTTCTGACAACCCAATAGTTTAAAACAAAATTTAACAGAATCTAGTTAATATCAGAAGTCATAAGCTTTCTTTTAATATTGTCATTGTATAGTATTTCCTGTTAAAATTATAATATAAGATGATGGCCAAAGAACATTTGACATCTAAATAATATAATCTTACTAAATTATAAATAGAGAAAATATAAACCAACTTAAATCTTGGCATATTACTAAAGGGGTAATATGATGAATGAATGTTGTTCAAAATGTAAAACTACTAAGCTATGTAAGACTTTGTCATTTTGATAATACCAGCCATTATAAACATTTTAATCAGGAGCGTCTGACATAAGACTTACACAGTTTTAAAGCAAATGACATTTTAAATGTGATAACAGATAGGCTCATTTTTTTATTCTTTTCATAATTTTCAAGCAGAAGGGTCCTTTTCCAACTTTAAACTGATTATAACACCAGAGCACACGTGGACCTCCTTAAGAGAAGCAATAGAGTCCTTAAATCAAGATCTATCATATTAATTATTGAAATATAATATTTATGAAAAAAACTAAACTATCTAAATATTATGGGAAAATTTCCAATAATAAATGCTTGATTGTTCAAGATAACAAAATTCCATACATACATTATATGTAGACTCCAAAAAGCTAGTACGATTATGGTGATGTCTCAGGAAAGATACTGTTTCACACTGAATGTTCTACTTCACCTTGGAATTCACTTTATCACCATTATCACACCAACTATGAAAATCATCTTTTCTTTCCTATAGAGAATAATTATTCATTCATTCATTTGTTCATTCATTCATTCAACAAATGCTTAAGAATCTACTATGTGCCAGGTATTGCATTAAAAACTGGGGATATAGAAATTAATTAAGACACATAGCCTTTGCACAAGCCCTTAAGAAATCTACAGTCTAGTTAGAAACAGGCATATAAATAAATAGGTGCAATAAAATATAGGTTTTAGAATAGACCTCTGTACTGGAAAGGCTCAAAGAAGGTAAGTTTCAATAACAGATCAGTAGTCAGGAAAAGGTTCAAAGAGATAACAAAGCTGAGTCTTGAATAAAAAGTTGCTACTTACTAAGGAGCAAAGAGGAAAGATCATAATAGTAAGAAAGAGAATATTAGTGAAGACAAAAGTGCCAAATAACTAATCATGGTAGGGTGACTACAAGCTATTCAGTTTAACTAAGGCAGACGTGTAAGGAGTAAATACAATGTTGGGTGGCACGGAAGGGCTGCCAGAGGTAAGTATGAAGCAGGATGCAAAGGCTCAATAAGAAAAGACCTTGTACATACACTAAAGAGGACACAATCTGTATCTTATAAACAACAGAAACCATTGAAGAGTTTTATGTATAAAAATCACAGGATCATAGGTTTCCATAACGTCTAAACAATTTATGTATTTGGCTTTCCTCAACAATACTCAAACTAACATTTCACATTTCATTATATGTTAGAGAACTAATATCACCATTTTAGCATATGTGTTTTATACTTATATGTAAATAATTTCCCAGAATAAGGGTCTCGCCCTCTAGCAAACTTGTGAATTAAACGACAATTCTACTACCTGAAGCGTGGGGCAGACACTAAAGATACTGTTTTCCAAGGAAGCATCACTAAGATTCTACTTAAAGAATTCATACATGTGATATATGCATTTGCATACACACAAAACATTAAGAATACATACTCTACTAAGACTGTCAGAAGTTATACCCACATAAAGTCACCAAAGCAAATGTTTTGGCCAGACACATTTTGGTGTATCTCAATCAGTAGTACAAAATCATTGTGCACTAGCCAGACTATGCTTCAAAAAC